CAACTGGAACAATCCATATTTATTACCATTCCAGAAATACAATACACACACACCCCCCCGCCCAAAGGTGATTCAAAAGAATGCAGAAATTACTAAATACCATATGTAAATAAAATCTTCCTTGATGACTGGAATACTACATTAACAGGGAACTACCAGAAATACAAGCTTACAAGCTAGGTTTAGACAAGGCCGTGACACTGAAGATATTATTGGTAATGTTAGATATGTCTTGGCTGAAAGCAAAGATTATCAGAGGAATGTCTGTGTTTTATTGACTATGCAAAGGCATTTCACTGTGTAGAACGCAACAAACTGTGGCTACCCTTGAGAAGAATGGTAATCGCAGAACACTTGATTGTGGTCATGCAAAACCTGTACTTTGACTAGGAGGTAGCCGTCAGAACAGAGCAAGGAAACACTACACGGTTCAAAATTAGGAAGGAAGTGCATCAAGGTGGTGTCAGGGATTGTCTTATCTCCGTATTTCTCAATCTATACAGAGAACAGATGATTCAGGAGGCTGTACTTTACGAGGAGTATGGCATCAGGATGGGAGGAAGATTCATAAATAATCTGCGTAATGCAGAAGACTCAACTTTGCGGAAACTGGGGAGGACCTAAAGCACATGCTACAGAAGGTCAAGAACTGCAGCCTTCAATACAGATTGAAGCTCAATATCTAAAAGACAAAGATTCTCACCACTGCCAACTGGCAGCTTCATGACAGATGGAGAAGAGACTGAGGTTGTTAACAATTTCAGCTTGCTCGGCTCCACAATCAACACTCTTGACAACAGCAGTCTGGAAATCAAAAGACAGATTGTACTGGGGAAGTCTGTTGTCAGGGACCTCTCCAAAGTGCTAAAGAGTAATGATGTCAGCCTAGAGACTCAGATGCACCTGATCCAGGCAATAATATTTACAATTACTTGCTATGCATCAGACAGCTGGACACGGACTAAGGTTGACAGAAGGAAAAACTGACGCCTTTGAGTTGTGGTTCTGGAGAAGAGTACTGAACATACTATGGATCATTGTTGTTGCTGTTGTTGTTATGTGCGGTCTAGTTGACTGCAACTCATAGTGACCCTATGTACAACAGCCCTAAACCCTGCTCTATCCTGTGACAATCATACTGCCTGACACACCCATCCCAATTACCCCAGTCACTGAATCAATCCACCTCATAGAGGGTCTTCCCCTCCTGCGCCATCCCTCCACTCTCCCAAGCATCATGCCCGTCTCCAAGGACCTGTCCCTCCTTACAACATGTCCAAAGTATGTCAAAGGCCCAGAATCCTTTGCCTCCAAGGAGCATCCTGATTTAACCCTCTCCAGGGTGAATCTGTTTGTTTTCTTGGCAGTTCATGGTACACTCAATACTATTCTCCATCACCACAGCTCAAAGGCATCAACTCTCCTTCTGTCCTCCCTAGTCACTGTCCAACTCTCTGATGCACAACAAGTGATAGCAAAGACCATGGCCTGTATCAAATGAACCTTAGTCTCCAGAGTGACACCATTGCTCTTCAGTACTTTAGAGAGGTCCCTAACAGCAGACTTTCCCATCGCAATAAGTTTTTTAATTTCCTGGCTACTGGTGCCATGAGTGTTAACCACGGAGCCAAGTTGACTAAAGTTGTTAACAATCTCAATCTCTTCACCATCCATACTGATTGTTTTAATTGGTCCAGTGGTGAGAATCTTTGTCTTCTTGACATTGAGCCTCAATCCATACTGTAGGCTGCAGTCCTTGATCCTGTGCAGCAAGCATTTCAGGTCCTCCTCAGTTTCATCAAGCAGGGTTGTGTCATCTGCATAACGCAGAGTGTTAATAGATTTTCCACCAATCCTGACTTAGGAGAACAAATAGATCTTAGAAAGGGTGAAACCAAATTTTCTCTTTGGAGGCAAGGATTTTGAAGTTCCATCTCACATATTTTGGGCATGCTGCCAGGAAGGACCATTCCTTTGAGAAGGACATCATGCTTGGAAGGGTAAAAGAAGGACAGCAAAGGAGACGAAGACCCTGGATGAGATGGATTGACACAGTAACTGGGGCAATGAGATTAAGTGTGTCAGAGTCAAGTGAAACTGGCTCAGGATAGGGCAGGGTTCAGAGCTGTTGTATATAGGGTAGCTCTGAGTCACTGGTGACTTGACGGCACATAACCACCACCACAACAACTACAATCATAATCAGAAAACTGAGAAACTTAAAATGGGTTCTAAGGAGGACATGACTGCTGACAGCAGGTAGATCTTGGCTGGTAACAGAGTAAAACAGCGAGATTTTTTTTTTTTCATTGACTATGCAAAAGCCTTCAACTGTGTGAATCATAATTATGGACAACATTAAGAACGAGAATTCCAAAACACCTAACTATACTCTTATGGAACCAGGACAAGAACCAAGAAGCAATCTGTGTACTGGAGTCGTATCCTTTCATAAACCTTAATATAATCTAAGAAAGAATATATGAAAAAGAATGTGGCATCAGGATTTCAGGACAATTATGAACAGCATTTAATATGTAGATAATAAAATCTTGTTTATTAAAAGAGAAGATTTAAAACACCTGATTAAAGAATAGCAAGCTATAAACTTCAATATCATTAGACTTCAACACAAAACAAAAATCCTCACAACAAGAATAACATGATAAATATAAAAAAGACTGAAGTTGTTAGGATTTTTTTTTTTAAAGATTCACAATCAATCCCCATAGAAGAAATCTAACATATTGCAGTGGGAAAATCTGCTATCAAGGCCCTTGTTGACATGCTAGAGAGCAAGGTTGATACTTTAAAGACCAAGGTACACCTGGTCCAAGCCTTGCTATTTTTCAACTGCTTTATATGCATGTGAAAGCTGGACAATGAATAAGGAAGACTTATGATCAATCATTATCTTTGAATTGTGGTCTTGGTAAAAAATACTGAATATACCATGGATTTTGCCAAAACGAACACATTTCTGTAAAGAAGTGCATCTAGATGGCTCCTTAGATGCATGGACGGTAAAAGTTCATCTCATAAACTTTTGGTACGCTAATAGGAGGATTCAGTTCAAGGAAAGGGATATCAACCTTGGGAAAGTAAAAGTCAGTGAAAGAAAGATCCTCAATGAAATGGACTGATGTAACGACTGCAATTATAGGCTGAAGCATGCAGACTGAGGATGGCCAAAGCAAAGCAGATTGTGAGGCTTGGCGAGTGCTTCATTCTGTTTTGCAGAGTCACTTAACTGAAGCCCACTCAATAATAGCACCTAACAAGAACAGAGAAGAGTGTAAGAAGTATCAATTTTTCATATTAGGTAATCCTCCTATTGGGAGCTCTGGTGATGCAGTGAGTGTTGTGCTGCTAATCCAAAGGCAGCCCCTCTCTGGCAGTTCAAATACACCAGAACCAGAGGCTCATTGGGAGGCAATCTCCTCCCATGTGATATACAGCCTCCCCAAACCCATGGAGGATCAGCTATGATTCAGTTCTAACTCGATGGCAATGAGGTTGAGTTTTAAGATTGGATCTTCAGATAAGCAAACCCAAATATAAAGGGTATCAATAAAACTTTTAAATTACAATATAACTGCCCTATAAAAGATTTATCATAGGATTCTCTATATACCAAGTACTACTGGTGTGACTGTCCATTACAAATGACTACTGGTATTTGAAATACCAGGAGAATGGCTTCCAGCATCACATCATCATACAAGCCACCATAGTATGAACAGCTGACAAAAGAGCCAAGCCTGCAGGGTCAGTATAAGTCATAGCTGATGAAACTGCACCTAACAACAAGTCAGTCACTTCATTTTAATAAAGCTTTTCAGAAATGATCTATCACTCATAATTGTAGTCATCAAGTCAATTCTGACTTATAGTAGCCCTAGAGAACAGAAGAGAATGATCCATAGGGTTTGCACAGGTATAATAAACCTTTACAGAAGCAGGTAAGTCCATTTTTTTTCCTCCAAAGAACAGATGATAGGTTCAAACTGCCAACTTTTAGGTTATCAGCCTAAAAAGTTTAATCACTAAAGTTACCAGCAAAATTCCTTCAAAGAAATTTTGTCAAGAGTGGTATTCATTAAGATTGAAATTTCAGTGTCTAAATTTTTAAAAATTAACATGGACAGAGGAGTCCTACTAACACAGAACTTGGCTGTTGTTGTGTATCACTGAGTTGGAACAGACTCTTATCTGGCTCTCCAGCAGGTTATCACAGGCAGTAAATTGCACGGGAGGACACTCATCCTCCCTTGGAGCAGCTGGTGGATTCGAGCCCTTTGCCTCTGGTACTGGAGTATAGATTCTAACCATAAATGTGGCAGTTAAAATTCACTCACTGTTCTGTGAGAAAAATATGTGGCAGTCAACTTCTGTAGAGATTACAGACTAGAAACCATTACGAAGCAGTTCTACTTTGCCATTTAAGGTCACTATGAGTTGTAATATATTTTATAGCAATGCATTTGAGATTTTGGAGTTGGTTATATAAATATAATGGAAATTAAAATCAAAACAAATTATTCCTTCTTCAAAGAACCTCTTTATACCTTCTACTAACTTAATTTTTTTTATAAGATGATCAAATACTAAAAACACATTTCAAGCTACAACTTTAGTATTAAATCTTCTGTCATTACATCTCATTTATATTTGAAAATGTCTCTAAAAAAGTTTTTTTCCCAATAGGATTATGGTATTTTTGAAATAAATGCCATGCAAAAACTCCAAAAATACAAGAATAAAGAACAAATGAAAGATATTTCCTAAATATATTGCACAACCAGAGCAAAATTAAAGAAATCTTTAAAAGTTTAACATTTGTTTAGTTTTCAGCCTTCCCTATCACTTCTTTTAGTATGTACCTTTACATAAGACATTGATTTTATAGTTTCTAATTATTGGTGGAGGGAAGAAAATTGCACACAGGATAAGATTTTACATGAGGTAGAAACCCTTACCAGTACTGATGGTCACTTTACCTGACACAAGGTGCTTCTCTGACAGCATGATTTTCGTTACAGGGCTTCGGTGGACTGTGAAAGTCTGGAAAAGCTGAGGGCCTGACCCAACTGTCTCCGGGTGCTGTACAATCACTCGCACTGCTCCAGAGCTTGTACCATAGGCAATCTCAATCCAGTTACCACTGACACCTGCACAAAGTCAAAAGTTGGAAAGATTAGCTGACAATACAGAAAGCTGCCCTGGCAAAGCCTCCCTCCTTGTGTGCGATAAGACAGGACCATCTACACCTAGTGCAGCCCAGCACAGAAACCCTAACACTTCTTTGACCATCTGAAAAATCCTTATTTCTTTTATCTTTTCCTAAGCCTTACTCCTGTTCAGCTCTTTAGCATCTTGAATTCTTCCTTGTACTTTGGCTTCTCTGCGCTCCAGTGCAATATTCACAGTTTCTTCTGACATCCATTTTGGTCTTTTCTTTCTCCTGTCTTTGTAATGCACTCTTCTTGGATGATACCCTTGATATCCTCCAACAACTCAACTGGTCTTCACTCATTAGTGTTCAAGGCCTCAAACCTGTTCCTGAGATGGTTCTGAAATTCAGGTGGGATAGACTCAAAGTCATATTTTGGTTCCAGTGGATTCGGTTTAATTTTACTCCGCTTCAGCTTGAACTTGAACTGAGGAGGATCTGAAGCGCTTGCTGAAGAAGGTCAATTACTGCAGCCTTCACTATGGATTGAAGCTCAATATCAAGAAGACAAAGATTTTCACCACTGGACCAAGTGGCAGCATCAGGATGGATGGTGAAGAGATAGAGATTGTTCACAGCTTTAGTCTGCTTGGCTCCAACAGCCAACACTCTTGGCACCAGCTGCTAGGAAATTAAAAGACGTATTGCGATGGAAAAGTCTGCTGTTAGGGACCTCTCCAAAGTACTGAAGAGCAATGGTGTCTCTCTGGAGACTAAGGTGCGTCT